TGTGTTAACTATGATGAGAATACAACTACATCAGTCTGTCACGCCTTCATCTACCCGCAACTGTACACAACACACGCGATCTTTGCAATGGAAGGCTTTGCACAAACAAGCTTACCAGCTGCATAAGAACAGCTTACTCAGTTTGTTACAGTACAGTTCAGCCATGAGGACTTTGCTTCTCTCAAATCATGAGTTATCTGTGTGCCACAGACAGACGATTCATTTCCAAACTGATAGTGTCGGTGTCCTTGAAACTGGTGAATGGTAGCACCATTTTGATTAAAGGTTAAGGTTGGTCTTAAATATCTTTGACTGTATTGTTCAAGGCAAGAAAACAAGCATCAAACGTCTTAAGTGAAAGTGAGATATGAAACAAACAAACAAATAATATTTCGAATGTCCATGCAAGATACATATTGCATTATCAGTTAAAAAATGAAATTATTATTGTTCGTGGGTATCCTCAAGCAGACAGTCTCTTCAACAACTCAGACGGAGCCCGGCCTCGGAGAAAATAGCTACAACAGCAGCTGATGTTATGTTGATGCCAATAATCAGAATGAATAGTACAAACATGAACATGTCATCTATTGTGTTGGCAATGACCGTCCATGAAAGACGTTCCGTTGCACCAGCATAGCTAGTTGACTTATAGTCACACAGTTTACGTGTCCACGACGGGATAGGTTTGGAGTCTGATAAGTTGGATACCTTTTGGGTAAGGATGGTGAGAAACACAGACAGGGCGCTGATGACGAGGAGGAGGGTGATGTAGATGGTGACAACGGAGACATGTCTGGACGTCTTGGGCAGTGTGTCACTCAGCAAGGTCAGGAACACCACAAAGGACAGCATGATGGTCATTATGAAACTGATTTGTTCCCCTTGATCCATGGGCAGAGCAAACACAAGAGGGATTAAAAGCGATATGAACAATACAGGAAGGAAGAGATTAAGAACATAGTAGGAAGGGCACCGGTTGAGCTTGATAAGAACGACCACATTTGGTGTATAAGGAGGGTAACTGTGTTCAAGATGTTTGGAAATCTCTGCAATATTCCACACACTGTTTTGACCTGTACTTGTCATCACACCAGCAGCATCGAGGAGGTTGAGCCATACACATTCGTACATCATCCATTTTGTAATAACGATCTTGCAAGTTTGTGTATCGAATGGAAAATAGGTTGTGTCCAATGCACATTCAGTCTTATACAGATCGCCAGGGCTCCACATCATAGTTCCATTGCTGAACATGAATACTATCAGATCATCATACCCCATGGCCTTGTGTGGTTTAAGGCTATTACTGATCACAAGATCAGGAACCCAAATATCCTTCTGTTTGTAGCTCACGTCAGATACGTTGTAATCAGTCTGACTCCACGCTAGTGCAGGGTCCATCCACACAACGTTCAACCAGCCATTTGTCGTCATTGTCTGTTCTCTTTCATCCAAATCCACCATAGATTGTAAATAGAAATTGACCGAAACATTAACGGTACCATTGCTTGATGGAGGTACGTTTACAACGTAGTCCTTCAGTGAATCAGTCACCAGCCGTCTTCTGATGGCCACGGCGTCATCTTCACTAACCACAGAACTGAAGATAGACCAGCTACATAGAATCAGCTTCATCAGCACATACCGGTCATTCATTGCTGGAGTTCCACGATATGTTTGCTATCCGCTCATTACATCACAGTGGTGAATGACGCACTGTACCTAAGCATTAAAGCAACTACCAGCCCGACCTTATGACTTGTCTGACAAACATGATTGGAGTATGACAGTATTCTTTTTGGTATAGCAATTACCAGCCTCTTGAACAAAGTCAATACACAGAATCCATGAACATAATACATATTTACATATGTTTCTATGCGTCGGGATATTTACCGATTTTATTTGTTGAAGTTTGGATGTTTGATAGTTCATGGAGGGAACATTATGTTAAATCAATCCCGCTGTTTGTAGGCATCTTTGAAATAGTGAAAGAACATATTTGGTTTTAATAGCCAATAGAAATTGAAACGAAACGTGTCGAATTTAAGTTAAACATCATTCGGCCAAGACAAAAACAAATTACCTTAACATTTTGACAAACTTGTGCAAGACAATAATGACGCACATGGGTTGGCATGACCAGCCGATTGGTAGGACAGGGCCCATCCTACCACCCGTCTAGGGTGAGGGAAAGGGTCGAGTAAGGGTCAAAGTGGTGTATTGGACTAAAGAACACTATTGCTGGTTCCGGAGTCCTCAACCACCAGACTCCCTTCCTCTGCCGACACAGGGACGCCCAATTCGGTTGCCTTAAACGACCAGCAATGGGGCGCTGGTGACACAGTCCACCTCGTGTCATCACGGGGCGGGCCCAGAGATATCAGCATAGTGTTTGAACTATCAGAGCATGTATATACTACCACAATTGCCACTGGATAAAATGTGGTCAATCAATAGAATGACTTCTTTTGAAAAGCCCTGCACACTTATTACCACGAAACAAAATGAAACCTTCCCTCTGTAAATAAAGGCCTACAGACCAATTAGCTCTCATCGATATTTTGTACCGATTTGCTTTTGACGAGCTTTGCTGACTGATATATTCAAATGTTTACATTTTCTACCGATCTAATTGGTTTTGTCTTTAGATTGAATATATCAACAGGAGATTGACTGTACCAACCGTAGCATCCTTCAAGTGAGAAGTTTAACGAGACTGTCAAATGTGTCCATAGAAAAAGGAAAATGTTGCCCCTAGTAGTATGTGACGGACCATATTATTTTGGCTTGACTACGTTCGCCTGCAATACGTGTAAATTGTCATGTCGTTGTTTGGTATATGCATACTTCAGGTACACGTATTTACGGAGGCAACAGAACAGGACATTCGGCTCCACTCGGCACATTCCGTTACTTACATCACACCCTGAGCAACAATGGCGTAGTGGTACCATGATTTCACTGTGCGCCCCATATCGGCATATATAGGCCCTGCAATATTGCAGCCGGTTCTGAGAAAAGTTGGTATGGTTAATAGAATAGGTATACAATTGATATCGAACATCATTTATATAGGATCACGACTGACGATCGATTATGTTTTGTAATGGGAATAAAAGTGACAAAACCCTTTCCATATTCATAAATAAAAATCTGCCAAAAGTAGAGTCGATTCTACGATTCGTACTATATCATAAGCATGTGGTTATGAATCAATATAGTGGTGATACCAGGTGTTCGTGAAAAGTTGAGCGGATACTGCTCGACCGGTGGCACCTGTCACAAACACATGCAAAGGCATGTCAATTGTTCAAAAAAAAGGGGAACATGCGGTACAAGTTAAAACAGGGAATTGCATCGGACATTATTTTTGTCACTGATGCGTTGAATTTGGAAATGTCCTCCACATGTCTTCCTTAACACGTTTGACAACTTCTGAGCAAGAGTCGTATGACGCGAGATCTTGCGAGATATTGTGAGAAGCGGCATTAATGGTTGTACCGAAATAAAGGGAAAGTTTACTATTTGAAAGTTTGAAGTCACCTCTCTTGTTATACAGTCTTGTGGAGAGTGTTTTGTCGCCTTGAATCTTTATACATAGACTTAAATATGAATAACCATGTCGTGAAACCTGAATGAATCCTGTTCTAATATGGATTCCTCCCTCCCTATGCTAACCGAGTCGCCCTATAGGATTGAGGGGAGCGTTCCACATGCACAAACCATGAAGGAACATATCCAAGGGAGCTTGCTGGACGGAAGATTTGGTTGGTTTGTTGTTTAACGCCGCACTCAGCAATCCAGTGATTGACATAATGAGCATCGATCTACGCAAATGGGATCGATAACATGCATCAACCAAGTCAGCGAGCCTGACCACCCGATCCCGTTAGTCGCCTTTTACGACAAGCATAGTCGCCTTTCACGGCAAGCATGGATTGCTGAAGACCTATTCTACCCCGGATCTTCACGAATACCAAGAAGGGCATTTGTTTCTCGTCTGCCCCTAACATAACACGACATGAAGTCGAGAGTAATATTTAACCGTTAATCAATTTCTTGCTTTCCTAGTCATATTGAAATCATTTAGGCGAAGCAAAGAACAATACACAACTGCACAACATAAATAAAATATAGATTAATCATTTAACAAAAGTCTCATAATTTAATAATGTATTTATTGTGTTAACTATGATGAGAATACAACTACATCAGTCTGTCACGCCCTCATCTACCCGCAACTGTACACTACACACGCAATCTTTGCAATGGAAGGCTTTGCCCAAACAAGCTTACCAGCTGAATAAGAACAGCTTACTCAGCTTGTTACAGTACAGTTCAGCCATGAGGACTTTGCTTTTCGCAAATCATGAGTTATCTGTGTGCCACAGACAGACGATTCATTTCCAAACTGATAATGTCGGTGCTCTTGAAACTGGTTAATGGTAGCACCATTTTGATTAAAGGTTAAGGTTAATGTTGGTCTTAAATATCTTTGACTGAATTGTTAAGGGCAAGAGAACAAGCATCAAACATCTTAAGTGAAAGTAAGATATGAAATATCTCTTGATATACTTAATATTTTGAATGTTTATGCAACATACATATTGCATCATCAGTTTAAAAAAAATGAAATCAATATTCTAAGTGCTTATCGACCCGTGAAGATCTGGGATAGAATACGTCTTCAGCAACCCATGCTTGCCGTAAGAGGCGACTAGCGGGATCGGGTGGTCAGGCTCGTTGACATGGTTCATGAATGTCATCGTATCGAAATCGCATGGATCGATGCTCATGATGTCAGTCACGCGATAGTCTGGTCCAGACTCGATTATTTACAGACCGCTGTCATATAGCTTGAACATTGCTGAGTGCGGCGTTAAACAACAAACAAACAAATAATATTTCGAATGTTCATGCAACATACATTTTGCATCATGAGTTAAAAAATGAAATTATTATTGTTTGTGCGTATCCTCAAGCAGACAGTCTCTTCAACAACTCAGACGGAGCCCGGCCTCGGAGAAAATAGCTACAACAGCAGCTGATGTTATATTGATGCCAATAATCAGAATGAATAGTACAAACATGAACATGTTGACCTTCCATGAAAGACGTTCCGTTGCACCAGCACAGCTAGTTGACTTATAATCCGATTTTATGGTACCTCTTGAAGACAAGTTCAGTTTCCTCCATATGTGCTTTTCATCCCATGTGGCATACAGTTTACGTGTCCACGACGGGATAGGTTTGGAGTCTGATAAGTTGGATACCTTTTGGGTAAGGATGGTGAGAAACACAGACAGAACGCTGATGACGAGGAGGAAGGTGACGTAGATGGTGACAACGGAGACATGTCTGGACGTCTTGGGCAGTGTGTCACTCAGCAAGGTCAGGAACACCACAAAGGACAGCATGATGGTCATTATGAAACTGATTTGTTCCCCTTGATCCATGGGCAGAGCGAACACAAGAGGGATTAAAAGCGATATGAACAATACAGGAAGGAAGAGATTAAGAACAAAGTAGGAAGGGCACCGCTTGAGCTTGATAAGAACGACCACATTTGGTGTATAAGGAGGGAAACTGTGCTCAAGATGTTTGGAAATCTCTGCAATACTCCACACACTGTTTTGACCTGTACTTGTCATCACGCCATCAGCATCAAGGAGGTTGAGCCATACACATTCGTACATCATCCATTTTGTAATAACGATCTTGCAAGTTTGTGTATCGAATGGAAAATAGGTTGTGTCCAATGCACATTCAGTCTTATACAGATCGCCAGGGCTCCACATCATAGTTCCATTGCTGAACATGAATACTATCAGATCATCATACCCCATGGCCTTGTGTGGTTTGAGGTTATTACTGATCACAAGATCAGGAACCCAAATATCCTTCTGTTTGTAGCTCACGTCAGATACATTGTAATCAGTCTGACTCCACGCTAGTGCAGGGTCCATCCACACAACGTTCAACCAGCCATTTGTCGTCATTGTCTGTTCTCTTTCATCCAAATCCACTATAGATTGTAAATAGAAATTGACCGAAACATTAACGGTACCATTGCTTGATGGAGGTACGTTTACAACGTAGTCCTTCAGTGAATCAGTCACCAGCCGTCTCCTGATGGCCACGGCGTCATCTTCACTAACCACAGAAGTAAAGATGGACCAGCTACATAGAATCAGCTTCATCAGCACATACCGGTCATTCATTGCTGGAGTTCCACGATATGTTTGCTATCCGCTCATTACATCACAGTGGTGAATGACGCACTGTACCTAAGCATTAAAGCAACTACCAGCCCAACCTTATGACTTGTCTGGAGTATGGCAATATTCTTTTTGGTATAGCAATTACCCGCCTCTTCAACAAAGTCAATACACAGAATCCATGAACATAATACATATTAACATATGTTTCTATGCGACGGGATATTCACCGATTTTATTTGTTTAAGTTTGCATATTTGATAGTTCGTGGAGGGAGCATTATGGTAAATCAATCCCGCTGTTTGTAGGCAGCTTTGAAATAGTGAAAGAACATATTTGGTTTCAATAGCCATTTGAACAAAACATACCAAGCAACTCATTGAGATCAATGTTGGTACAGGAGAAATGCAACCGTTCTTCCCTCCATTGCAAATATATGGTGAATGTTCCGATATATAAAACCATCTGGATTAACACGTGGATCGGCTAAATCTCTTTACGATATCGTTGGATTTAGTAAACAGACGCCATTGGAATCGCCAACGAATTGACCTTCATTTTTACAAACAGTGCATCTGTTTTAATGTGATGCTCAGAGAGACACGATGATCCTGTGAATTGTTTAGAATGGAAGTTACGTCTTTTGAAGTTTGATCTTTCGACACCATAGCTGAATAAAAGTTTAATCCCCGTCTAAACTGATACGATCTAAATATCCCATTTACAATTGTTCAAACGTTGAAACAAAGCAGGATTTTTTTTCTGTTGAAACGACATTTTCCTTTTGTTACGTGTTAATATCCTAAATGGATACGCGAAGGTTACCAAGAAATAGATTGTGAAATCACACACGGTCAATGAACAATTACACATTATAATGAAATACACAGGATAAATTTACATTCATACAAGGCGATACAATGGGTCAAACTGTGTGGCTGCAGTGATATGTAATAATAGATCATATTACGAATGGCAGTGCACTCGCAAATGTCAAATACTTGCCACAAATGTTTGTCTTGAATGAGGCACTTGCTCCGAACTTGAATCCAGCAACCAGTGTTGGAAATAGACAGAAATGTCTGGGTTTTTCTATAGGCATCCGAACTAGGTAGGAAGATAAGCTGCAAGTTAAGGCAAAGAAGCAAGGCTTCGATGTTCTACTAAACCAACTCAGAATCAGCCTTCAGTGCAGATTGAATCATCTTCCAGCTGTGATTGGAAGATTTTGTGTAGGATTTTGATGTTTTTGAAATGAAACATCCATTCAGTAATTAAAACTGACCATGTTTTTTCAACATAATGACTTATGCTGAATGTGACTCCAGGTATTTTCAAGCAAGTGATATTTGGTGAAGAACTTGGAGTGGTGTGTTTAGCTTCCTGTACTCGGAAAAGGAGCTGGCTGAGCTTGTCATTTTTATGCTTTTTATTGCTTAAGGCCAAACTGTACACACACGTTCATTTTATAAGCTGTAGAATGCACAATATTTTAAAATATATAACGTTACTATAGAAGTCTTAACTCAAAGTTTCAGAGTGTCAGGGAAGAGTCAATGGACGAACAAGTTCGTTTGTCAGAAGAAAATGACTAAACTTGAGAGGCTTGACGTAACGTTTCAGAGCAGAAGAAACTACTTCATATTCATGGTCGTGGGATGACACAGAGAAGTTAGCCGTCACTCTATGAGTGAAAAGCTTTGGATAAAAGACGTTGATAGGTATTCAAATGAACGAGCACACCGCTTGAATACCGAATCAAAAGTAAAACCAGTCATCGTTAAGTTCACCTTTTTTAAAGACAACATTTTTTGGATGCAGCCAAAATCAAACTCCAAGATGAAAATATCGTTTTGTTGTAAATGATTTCACTGAGAGGGTTCGAAATGTTCGATCAGTGATTATATCGTTCGTGGTTCAAAACGAAATGATGGCAAAAGGGCATACTTAACATATGACAAATTGGTAATATCTGATCAAATATATGTTCTGTCAGATGATGGCAGTTCACTGGAACCAGTGGGTACCAGGCGAGTTCCTTACCGTGGCACAGATAGAGCTGCATAGGGAGTCCACGAGCTTCATGGGGTGCTTGAGAAGCAACCGATGAACCACAAGGTTGGACACCCCCGGGGTGAGCAGGAGACCTAGGGACTCGTCAGTGGTCTGGACAACAAACCCATAGTGGACACTGATTTTTGCTTTGACAGTTGCCACATAGATCTATCAACATGCCTACATATATGTTCATGGAACGTTCAAGGACTCTTCAAATGATATATTCTGGTGTCCCCCGCCGTGATATTGCTGGAATATTGCTAAAAGCGGCGTAAAACCATACTCAGTCAGTCAGTCAAATGATATATCTTGAAACCATAATGTTATGAATTCTTTCTGTTGAGTGTTCTGTAAACTTTATTACATCTGACAAATATGCTGTTAGTCAAGCGGTTCCATGCCACATAGTTTACAGATTGCCTACCAGTTTGGGCAAAAGTCCAAAAGCAACTAATATACATAGAAATCAAATTAAATTCATGCGAAATGTACAAATTAGTCTTTGTGTCTGACAAGTGCTATCTCAGTTAGCATAACAGAAAAGCCAAAGCTGCAATGGTAGTAGTAGTGGTTTATTTCAGTAAATCAGGCCACAGGCCCATTTTACAATATATATTCAAGCATTCAAACATGTTGTGCCACCAGTGCATGTAGTAATATCAATACTAATCAGTACAAGGGTATCTGAGACCATATACATATGGTGGTAGAATTAGTAGTTTATATAGTGGATAACAGCTGCTTGCTCCTCATTTTAAGAGCAAAGAATGTAAACTTGGCAAGATTATTGATTGTGAAAGCATTAAGTACTGGTGGTAAATAAAACTTTACATTTATGCTCTGATGGAGATATATAATAATAACTTGGCAGAAAGTTTCTTCTAAGATCGTCATAAAACGGACAAACTAAACAAACATGGTATTCTGTTTCTACATTTGGAATGATACAAAATGGACAAAGTCTTTCACATTTTGGAGCACCTAACTTTCTACCCTGTGATACCATAAGATCACTGCTCGACGTACGAAACTGTGAGAGAGTAATCCTAAATGCAGCAATATTCACAACACTAAAATAATTTTCATATTCATTTGATAGTTTAATTGTTTTATACAAATATAATGAAGATAATTTTTCAAAAGATTCAAAGAGACACTGGTTATCAATATCAATACATCTTGTTCTAAAAGCGGATATAAATAAATGAATACAAGAAACTGATTGTCTGTTCCAAATTTCACCATATCCAAAGGAAAAAGACAGATTTTTAACTTTCAGTGCCCAGCAATCTAGACCCTTTTCTGCCCAAAGCTGCAATGATCAATATATAAACGTGACAAAAACATTTCCACTATCATAAGAAAACGCAACGCAACATTGTACGATTCCGACACTGTCATAAGCATGTGTTTATGAATAACTATCAAATAGTGATGATACTAGGTGTTTGTAAAAAAAAGTGAGCGTATCCTACCCAAAGGCAGGTACCAGACATTCCAGTGATTGACATCATAAACATCGATCGACGCAATTGGTGTATGATGACATGAACGGCAACGAGCAACAGTCCATGCGATGAAGGCTCCTGCCATATGCAAATACGTCATGTCACGTGAGGGGTTTGAGAGGTACGTTCACACAGTCAGTACCGTGTGCGTCCATTTTGAGAGAATAAAACCGATTAGAACAATACAGGAGTAATAGACCAATCGATCCAAAAAAGATATGATCCGAGGGTTGAGCAGAGTTCTTTATGACCAGTCACGATCTCGTGTAGACCATATAGCTCGTATTTTAATGGTATAAAATGTAATATTGATGTATGTGTTGATTAGAATTTTTAATCTATATTTGAGATATCTTGCTGACATTTTATTTAGGGATAATTTATTACTTTAAATGTTCTGAACTAGTTTTGAAAATGTAACAGTCGCTTATATAGTGCTGTTAAAGATTGTTAAAGCCTATGCTTAACTCTCTGGTGCTAATCTCCAATCTAGAGCTTGAGGATTTAGATAAATAAATAAATATAAGTGGCTAACCCCCTTCCATAAACATAAGAAATATCTGCTAAAAGCAGAGTACAGTGTACGATTCTGTTTTTATCATGAACATCCGTTTATGAGCTGTACGTGAAACTAGAGACATTTTGGCAGTGAACTGAGGCTTTCACATACTGCTGTGTTTATATGAACAATACCCTTTAAAAGCTACGTGAAGGCTCACTCACTCACTCACTCACTCACTCGGGGCGGTCGGGTAGCCAAGTGGTTAAAGCGTTCGCTCGTCACGCCGAAGATTCCCGACAAGGGTACAATGTGAGAAGCCCATTTCTGGTGTCCCCCGCCGTGATATGGCTGGAATATTGCTAAAAGCGGCGTAAAACCACACTCACACACTCACTCACTCACTCACTCTGCCTGGCCCGGACTCGATTATTTACAGGCCGCTGTCTTATTGTATCAATATCCTTCAGCCAGCTATAAAACAACACACAATAAAGGGTCGACAATTGCTTCTTAGATCACGCGACAAAGACAAAAGCACCACTGTCACTGAGTGTTAATATATAACAGAGAATGACAAGTAAGTGTGAATCACACCTGGATGAGAATCACTCGTGTACAGTAGCACATACATATCAGGCACGCTGACTTGGTTGAAGCATGTCATCGTATCCCAATTGCGCGGATCGATGCTTATGATGTCAATCACTGACTTGTCTGGACCAGACTCGATTATTTACAAGCCGCCGTCATGATTATATAGCTGAAATATTGCTGAGTGCGACGTTCAACAACAAAAAACAAAAACAAAAACATATACGACATGCGTCTGTGTTTGGGCTCTACGAACAAATTCTCAATGGTTTTGGCGTACAATCATTATCTTGACGTTCACTGTTTTTCACACTTCTGTAACAAAACTATAGAGCCCTAATTAA